CTGTAGCCCCCCTGCTACCAAAACCTTGCCCCGCCAACGCATTACACTGTGGTGCAAGGTCAAGGTGGAGGGATAAACCCTGACCTGCGTCCTGTGCTGAAGACACCTGGGCTCGAGGCAGAGGGCTGAGCTGGCTGTGGAGGGAAACGAGAACGCGACGGCCTGTTTGCAAGGGTGGCTCGTCAGGCATGACCATGAGGAGGAGATTCAAACGTGTCGGAGCAGGAGACCTGCAGCGCCGGGGGGTCCTGCTGCAGCAGCCTCTGCGGCAGAGCAAGGGAAGGACGGGGTGTCGCCCAGCAGCGCGATTGCTTCTGCACCGGTTCTCACTGCAGAGGAAGCTTTGGGCGCTTCCCCCAGGCCCTGCTTTACTGATAAGGGGCTGTTGAAAGCGAAGGCTCTGGCGTGTTGCTGAGGCTTTTCTGCTGCTTTTAAGGCCCCGTCTACGCCAGAGGTGTAGCTTAGATCAGAGCTGAACAGGAGTATTTGTATTCTGCCTCTGGATCATCTGGCCCTGGCATGGACCCATTTCTTTCCCCATTGCTCCTAGAACAGCCGTTGTGATATTAAACATCTTTAAACCCCTGGGGCTCATTAATTTACCCTAAGTGAGCTGGCCAAGGACCAGACCTGTTGGCAGGGCTGGGGAATGACGGTGGCAGGAGCAAAAACCCCCCAGGCTGCAGTGGGTGGAAACCGGCCCCGCCGATGCAGCTGGCAGTTCACAATTTATTCACAAACCCTCAACTGTGAACGACCTGTTCTTTAATTAAGATACTATAAATGATTACTGCTGCGTGTCCAGCAGGATCCTCTTTACGGACCTTAAACCCAGTCCAATCTGTGTGTTAAAAGGTCTAAACATCGGCTGCTTTGGGTGCAGCAAGAGGCTGGTTTCCTCCTGGCTGCTGCTCCCAACAAGCAGAGGGGTGAGTTACAGGTGGGCGAGAGCACGAGGGTCTGTGATTGCTGCTCACAGGCCCCGTCCTGCAGGGGCACCCCACCCCAAAAAAGTTTGTGCATGAACTGATTGAGTCTGATGTGTTTGGGCTCTTCCCCCACCTGGGCCAGGCTTCGGGCATTTGCACCCGCTTTCCCTGCTGCTGCGGAGCACAGGTGGGGCAGGGCCCTGCTGCAGCCCGTGGGGCGGGTGGAGCTCCTTTGGTGGACAGCCTCTGCCCTCTCCTCCGTGGGCGCTGGGTGATGCTGGGGGTGCTCAAACATCGCATCGCAAAGCGCCTGGCTTCGGGGCGGACATGCCCTTGGGCAGGCCCTTCCTCCAGCACTGGTGCCTGTCCATCCCCTCCTTGGTCTCAGCTGTCCCATGTCCAGGCCAAGGGCCCCCAGGCGCTGGCTCCAACCGCACCAGCGAGTGATGGTGGCTGAAGCCACACAAAGGCTCTAAAAGGCTCTAACGAGGCCCAGGGCCACTGTGGGGCTGTGGCCAAGTGGGGCCTTGCCCTCAGCTGTCCTTCGCCCCCTTCCCTGCAGGGCCCTGCTCAGGGGTGGCTGTCTCTGTCAGGAGAAGGTAGGAGCTCATGGCTTCCCGCAGGCCCAGGCTGATGGGAGAGTCCTCTTCCGCTGGGGACATGGCCTCCGAGAACAGGAGGGAGCTGCGGGAGGGCAGACGGGGCAGTCAGCAGGCAGCCCCCAGACCCCCCAGTGTCTGGCAGGGGTGGTGGGGGCAGCCCCTACCCATTCCCTGGCTGTCCCTACCTGTCGATCTTGTCCCAGTTGAGTGATGGCTTCTTCACAACAGCAGGCATGGCAGGAACCGAGGCCACCTTCACCCCTTCCATGGAGCAGGGCTCCCTGAGGGGGCAGCACAGCCCCTCTCCGAACTCTGCATAAGGAGCCGGCAGCGTCAGCAGGGTGCCCCCGCCTTCGCCCCAACCCCGCGGGGAAGCCAGGCAGGTGGGGGACCAGCCACCACCTTTCCACCCTCTCTCCTTGCAGGGCAGGGGGCACCCCCATGCACACAGACTGCGGTACTGTGGGGATGGCAGGGTGTTACCAGAGTAGTGGTCCACCAGGTCATGCAGGCTGGGGAAGGTGAGCCCGGGCGAGATGTAGAGCCAGCCGTTCTCCAGGCGGTGGATGCGGTAGTGGGTCACCGAGTCCCAGGAGGCACGCTC